ATTGATCAATCCTGAAGTACTGACAGCCAATCTAATTTCTTGAGGTCCAAGAATGTCAGAAAAGTACAGATATCCCCCAAATGACCCCTTTTTGCAGAGTAGACAGTCCGACGTACTTCATAAGAGGCATGGCGAGTTTTTTGAAGTTGTATTTTTTTTGTCATAATTTTTCGGAAAATGAAAAAATGAAAAAAATTATTTTCACTATTTTTTTTTTTACATACTGTCACCAGTGCAGTACAGCGTCATCATATAACTGGCATGGCGGTTAACAGGGACACTGACTGGTGACAGTATGAAAAAAAAAAAAATATATATATATATTTTTTATTATTTATTTAATTTTTTATTACATTTTTTTTTTTTTTTTTTTTTTAAGATTTTTTTTTCATATTTTACTATGACCAAAGTAGTACAATGTTACCATAGTAACATTGTACTACTTTGGGGAAGTGATCAGTATTTTTTTTTTTTTTTTTACACAATTTGCTTATAGCAAAGAATTACTTTGCTATAAGCAAGCATTTACCTGAATGAAATCGATTCATTCAGCTTGCTTTTTTTTTTTTTTGTGCTTAGCTGTGATTTGGTCACAGCTAATCACATGACATGTGCATGTAATTAGCTGTGACCATTCACAGCTAGGCACTAGTATACAATGGATGGCATCATGAATGAAGCCATCCATTGTATACAACTGTCATGTGACCTGCTGTGATTGGTCACAGCAGGTCACATGGTACCAGCAATGGGAGCCGGTACTCGGATCTGTCATCGGCCGTGTCCGAGGTGCACGGCCGGTGACAGATCGCACTGCTGCGCCCGCTCTGCATTAGCGCAAACTGTGCATGTGCGGGAGCACGCCAAATGGCGTGCACCCGGAGTGCAGAGACACATTTGAAGCCGCCAAACGGTCATTGGCCGGGCGGCTAATGGTTAAATTAGCACATGAGGTGGCGAATATGAGTTGAAAGGAATTACAAATGTCTGGCTAGATGGCATATTACACTGAGTAAAGCACATAAACAACAAGTAGATGTTTCACCTTTTTGTTGGAGAGGATGTGGGGAAAAGGGTACAATGGTTCACTTATGGTGGGATTGCCCAAAAATACAGGATTACTAGAAGGGAATATTACAAAATATTCAGATTACTGAACAGAGAGATTACTGAACAGAGAGACCCGTGTACGTGGTTATTTTATAAATTTGAAGCTTTTAGTAAAACTATTATTTATTTATTTATTACATCGAGTTTATATAGCGCCAAAGGGTTTGCTCAGCGCTGTACAATAGGGGGGACAATACATGGCACAGTACAACAAAAAACAGACAGCGTACGAGGGGTAAGAGGGCCCTACTCTTTCAAGCTTACAATCTAGGAGGGAGGGGGTAGTGGAACAATAGGAAGTGGCTGAGGGGAATGGAGTGGCTGAGGGGGATGAAGTGGTGGGAGGAATGAGGGAGGATGGCCGTTAGGTGAGGGTGGGGTAGGGCTTCCCTGAAGAGATGGGTTTTGAGGGAGCGCCTGAATGTGGGGAGGGAAGGCGACAGTTGGATGGATTGGGGCAGTGAGTTCCAGAGGATAGGGGAGGACCTGGAGAAGTCCTGCAGTCGTGCATGGGAGGAGGAGACCAGGGAGCAGGATAGAAGGAGGTCCTGTGAGGAGCGAAGGGTACGGGTAGGGTGGTATTTGGGGATCAGGTTGGTGAGGTAGTCAGGGGCAGTGTTATGAACGGCTTTGTAGGTCAGAATTAGAAGTTTAAATTTGATGCGTTGGGCAATCGGGAGCCAGTGGAGGGAGAGGCAGAGGGGGGTGGCAGAGGTGGAGCGGGTGGTGAGGTGGATGAGTCTGGGCCGCTGAGTTCAGGATGGTCTGGAGCGGGGAAAGCCTGCACTTGGGTAGGCCAATGAGAAGAGAGTTGCAATAGTCAAGGCGTGAGATGATGAGGGAGTGTACAAGAAGTTTGGTGGTGTCTGGGGTGAGGAAGGCACGTATCTTGGCAATATTGCGGAGATGGAGCCTGCATGTGTTTGCAAGTGATTTGACATGAGGGACGAAGGAGAGGTTCGAGTCAAGAATGACGCCAAGGACTTTGGCTTGCGGGGCGGGAGAGTGATAGTGGTGTTGGTGGTGGTGATGGATAGGCTGGGGGGGGGGTGGGCAGGGGGAAAGATGAGGAGTTCGGTTTTGGAGAGGTTAAGCTTGAGGAAATGGAGCGACATCCAGTCTGAGATGTCGTTTAGGAGGTGAGTGATGCGGGCGGAGATAGTGGGGGTGAGGAGAGGAGTGGAGAGGTAGATTTGGGTGTCGTCAGCATAGAGGTGATAATTGAATCCATGGGAGTGTATGAGTGTGCCCAGGGAGGAGGTGTAGATGGAGAGAGAGAGAAGGGGTCCAAGGACAGAGCCTTGGGGGACCCCAACAGAGAGGGGGAGGGGGGGGAGGTGGGTACCATTGTAGGTGACGCTGAAGGAGCGTCGGGATAGGTAGGATGAGAACCAGGAGAGAGCGGTATCTCTGATGCCAAGGGAGAGTAGTTTTTTAAGGAGGAGGGGGTGGTCGATTGTGTCGAAGGCCGCAGAGAGGTCCAGGAGAAGGAGGACAGAGTAGTTGCCCTTGGCTTTGGCGTTTAGTAGGTCGTTAGTGATTTTGAGGAGGGCAGTTTCAGTGGAGTGTAGGGGACGGAAGCTGGACTGTAGTGGGTCAAGGAGGTTATTGTCAATAAGGTGGGCGCTTAGGCGATCGTAGACTATGCGCTCAAGGAGCTTGGAGGTGAGTGGCAGCAGGGAGATGGGTCTGAGGTTGTTGGGGTCCGCGGGATCCAGGGAGGGCTTTTTGAGGATGGGGGTGATATGTGCGTGCTTTAGGGGGGAGGGGAATGCGCCAGTAGAGAGGGAGAGATTGAAGATGTGGGTGAGGGAGCGGATGAGGGAAGAGGGGGGGGACCGGAGGAGTTGAGAGGGGATAGGGTCCAGGGGGCAGGTAGTGAGAGGCGGGCTTCTGAGAGGACCTTGACGATTTCCTCAGTAGTGACAGGGCTGAGGGAGTGCAGTGCAGGGGGGGTTACGGTGGGCGGGGCCTTGGGAGCGGTGGAGGGCAGTGCGGTTGTGAGGGGGGAGAAGAAGGGGTGACGGGGGTGGGGAGGCTAGGTGGGGAGGTAGATTGCGAGTTGACAATGTCCTTACGGATAGTGTCAATCTTGTTACGGAAATGGGTGGCAATCTCGTGGGCGGTGAGTGAGGTACTGAGTGGAGGAGGGGGGGGGGAGAGCAGGGAGTTGAAGGTGGAGAAGAGTCGGCGAGGGCAGGAGGAGAGGGTGTTGATTAGGTTAACAAAGTAGGCCTGCTTGGTGGCGTGGAGGGAGGAGGTGTAAGTGAGGAAGGCAGATTTGTAGAGGGAGAATGCGTGACGGGACCTGGTTTTGCGCCACAGTCTCTCCAGTGCGCGACTGCGACGTTTGAGGCATTTAGTGCTGTCATTCTGCCATGGTTGAAGCAGCCTGGGGTTTGATGATGCGTGTGGTTAGGGGTGCCAGAGAGTCTAGGGCAGCTGACAGTGAGTCGTTGTACAAGGTGGTGGCTATGTCAGGACATGACAGTGGGAGGATGCTGTCGTGTAGGCGGTCGGCGGCTGAGTGGAGGGGGGCCGGGTTCAGGTTGCGGAGATTGCGGCTGGTGATGGTTTGGCGTTTTTTTGGGGGGGGGAGTAGTTGGGGGAAGGGGAGATGGAGAACGTGATGAGGTGGTGGTCAGAGAGAGGGAAGGGGGGTGTTAGAGAACTGGTTGAGGGTACAGAGGTACACAAGAATAGGGTATTATATCATCTAGTCATTGCGGCTAAAGGTTTGATTCCCAAATTTTGACTTGCCCCAGACCCACCAAGCATAAATGACTTGGTTAACAGAGGGGAAAATATCTACAGGAAGGAGGAGTTCTGTCATATTGAGGAGGATAGAATAGAAATATTTAAGAAAATGTGGAGTAGCTGGTTGGTTTTCAAAACATCTAAAAGATATCTGGAACTGGTTGGAATATAGGTGGAAGAGTAATAGAGGGTGTTCTAACGGAGTATCCAACAGAGAGAAGGAGATAGGAGGGAAGGGATACAGATATAGATAGACAATCACGAGAACGGATAGAAAACTAGGATTGTGGTATGGACTAGGGAAAATGAAGGAGGGTTGATTGGGAGGAAAGGTCGGGTAGGGGATAAGATGATGATGCAAATGGAATTTATGTACTGGTGAAGTTTTCTCTTTGTTTTTTTATGTGTGGACTTGATGCTCTTTTTGTATTGGAAAAAAAAAATAAAATATATAATAATAAAAAAAAAAATAACAATTAGCTAATATAATAACAAATGTCAATTGGGCTTGCACACTTGCTGTATTGATAAAATGTATAGTAATATTTAAAATAGAGAAATCACTCAGTAGGCTTTAGCTACAATTTCCAATTTCCTGATTATATTTCATTCAATGGAAGGGATTATCAATATTACTTCCCCAAATACAAATTTATGGAGGTTTTGCAAAACTGAGCAGTGTTTAATTCTTAGTGTTGGGTTGGATATAGTTGGGCAGATTCCTCCCAGAAAAGGATGAGCAGTGAGACATCTGCCATTCCTCCAACAATGCCAGGACACATTGCAGTGTAGCTTGTAATTCAGCCAATACATGGAAGCAGCACTGGTGATAAAACACATCCTTCTCTGACAAAAGAAGTGAATTGAGTCAACCAGCAAGCTGAAAATCTCTTTGTATATAATAATCATGCCTGATGACTAGAATTAGCGTAGAATCAAGCTATATATGCTAACACCTAGACATTTCCTGCATATTTTCCATATTTATTAGTAATTGACTGTGGGTGATATTGCAAACTAACTATGTAGTTTCACTTAAGTACAAGTAAATATCGGTCCAGGTTAACTAGGTTATACAATGTGAAATTCCACTTACCTGCTTAATTCTAATATAATTCATGTGTTTTTTTCAGCCAGAAAACATAATGCTGTTGGATAAAACAATTCCTGTACCCCACATAAAAATTATTGACTTTGGTTTGGCACACAAAATTGAAGATGGAGTAGAGTTTAAGAATATTTTTGGTACTCCGGAATTTGTAGGTTTGTATTATTAACTTTATTTTTCTATATATATGTGACCATGAAAATAACTGTAGGGTATACTAAGTGCTGTGCTATTCCTTGGATGTGCTTCCTAATAAATGTGCATTGTTCCCTTTAAAATTTATATACATAACATAAGAGACTTTGAATGTATACAGAAGACCCTTTATAATAAATAAACAACGAATACAGGACAATATGTGACCATAATAATTCTGTGAACAAAACCATGCTCCTGATTATTTAAATTTGTGATGAACTGCATTGGATGTAGCTTTGATGCACTGACACCACGGTAGGAGATTTCTGGTTGGAATTTGGTTCATCATTTGCCTGTAGAGAGTGTTTTTTATCCGTTGAATAGGTGGGTTTTTAATCTGTCTATTAATAAAGTTTTATACTCTGATTAACACTCTTGGGATCTCATCACTTTGTCATAACTTTTGTTATGTGGCTAACTGCATGAATAAAGAATACCTGGAGTAGATGGAAGATACTATGTTGTCCATAGGGGAATTATCCACAACTTGTTCTGTTCTGTTTGACCACTCACAATAAGGGGGTCAATATCTCTTGGTAAGGTTTATCCTTATCACAGTGGTGGTCTGAAATCATGGACCCAATTTGTTTTAGATTGCACTTGAACTATTTCTAGTGTTTATAGGACATTTGGATGGACTAAATTAATAGCACTTTATGCACACATTGGTTTTGTTCACAGAGTTCATATGATCAACCGGCAATCTCCTTATATGGTGTCAGCGCATCAAAGCTCCGTCCAACGCGTTTCATCACAAGTTGAATTCATCAGGAGCATGGTTTTGTTCCCAAAATTATTATGGTCACATATTGTCCTGTATTTGATGTTTATTTATTATAAAGGGTCTTTTGAATGCATTCAAAGTCACTTATGTATGTGGATTTTATAGAGGACAAGGTACATTTATTAGGGAACACATTTAGGGAATAGCAGAACTTGCAATACACTATATTTATATATGATTTATCAGGATATGGTGCTGGCTGCTTTTCCCTTGGGGTATAAATATTATTTCCTGATTTTTGTTGCCTTATTTTATACTATTGGGATTTTGAAGCACTGCATTAATTAATACAAATGTTATTATCTCTATATATATATAAATAGTAATCTCTCTTTCATAGAAGATAGATAGATAGATAGATAGATAGATAGATAGATAGATAGATAGATAGATAAGTAAGGCTAAATTTCCCCCTTATTAAACCTACTACAAAGTGATAGTGTGTATAATCAAATAAGGCCAGTTTTGTCAGTTTGACAGTTCTGCCCTGTAGGAAAAGATGGCATTTATTTAGTCAGCTGCATGCAGTTCTTGTGTAATAGAACTATGTCTTCAGCTCAGCTTGCCACATGTCAGCTATCAAACAGATAAGCAGGCTTAAGTTAACAGTGCAAAGTGCAGTTATTATTATTTCAGGTACTTATATAGTGCTGTCAATTTACGCAGCACTTTACATATATATAGTACATTCACATCAGTCCCTAACCCTCAAGGGGCATGCAATCTAAGGTATGGTATACTTCATTTAGTAACCAATTAGTTTTCAGTTTACTGACGTCAGATCAGTTAACAGAAAATGCAGGCCCCTAACATTACAATTCACCCATCCTTAGTGCTATTTATTTATTTATTTCAGGTACTTAGATAGCACTGTCAACTTACACAGCGCTTTACATATACTGTATATTGTACAATCACATCAGTCCCTAATCTTCAAGCGGTGTACAATCTAAGGTCCCTAACTCACATTCATACATACACGTACTAGGGCCAATTTAGACAGGATCCAATTAACCTACCAGCATGTCTTTGGAGTGTGGAAGGAAACCGTAGTACCCGGAGGAAACCCACGCAGGCAACGGGAGAACAACATGCAAACTAGATTTAATAAAACATTAGTTTTGTACTGAACTTCTGGCAGTGGTTTATATTCCATTCATACAAGGCAGCAACCACTACTGTACATTTAAAAGTCTTTCAGAACAGAAGATGAATAGTAATGTGTTATGTAATTATTGTTACAGCTCCTGAAATAATCAATTATGAGCCACTTGGTCTGGCAGTAGATATGTGGTAAGTTTGTGTAAATACTGTAAGTCACAAGATGTCAGATGAAGGTGCTTTTTTAAAGAGGGATATAATATGAACACCATTTTCTGTTTTAGGAGCATTGGAGTGATCACCTATATATTGTGAGTATCAATCAGTTTTTATAAAAACAAGCTAAAATGCTAACAATTATAGTAACTGCCATTTCTGCATACAAACATATTAAACAGAACAATACAAATACAGCAGAAGTAAAGAAACTGAGTCTTATAAGTATCAATATACAACAGCAGAAAGGTCCTATTCACACCTGTATGTTTTGTAGCTGGAAGCTGCAAAAAAGGGTCACCACCTAAAATCCAGTGGTATTCAATTATGCATGTTCATACTTGAGTGCATTGACCCTCGAAGCTTGACACTTTTAGCTTGAAAAACGACATAATCTTCTGTTAAACCACATGCTTTAAGCATTTTTGACCCCACTAGACTTCAATTGGAGTGCCTGAAAAAAATGTGTGAAAAAACACATGAAAGCACATATTGCTAGTTTGTTCCCTAGTACTTGGCTTTTCCTTAATTAAAAATAATGGAAAAAAAAAGCTCACGCCTCACAGGCCTGCAGAAATATGCAAAAAAACTTGCAAAATGATCAAAGATGCTGTGAGTGCAGCCTATATGTTGTATAGAAAAGGTTTTAATATGATAGTTAATACTATACCCAAGGTTAGAAAAACAAGCTCCTTGAGTTTATATACTTATATACAACACATTTTTGTTAATGAAGGCTAGACATTGCATGAATGTTGAGCAAATGAAAGCCAAAACCTCACTCTCAACAAAATTCCTCAAAGTCTAGGAACCCTGGCTTGGATGCTCATTCCCTACATTAAATACATGTAGCCTCAGTTACTTATCATCATTTTAACTAACTTCTTGTGCTGGGTCTTTGGGGGGTCATTGGCCTTCTTTTTTCTTTCTCCTTTTTCTCTTGTGCTGTTCGTTTCCATAGCCACTCCTTTTCTACTCCCCTCTGTCCGCCTCCCTTTTCTTTACCCTGTTGCTATCAATGGCCTGTATTATTTGCATCCCAGTTTGCATGTGGGTCATGGAATGTGGGCCATCTATTTGGGTATGACAGTTGTTTTATATTGTATTCTAATTGCCCACTCGTAGCTATTTGCTGCCCTGTATGCCTGTTATAACCCTTTGCAAAATGTAGGTTCTGACAATTTGGATCAGCCCCTGCACATGCAATACTGTTTATTTATGTCTCCTTGAAAAAGAAACCAAAAAATTGTAAAAGACAATTAAAATAAATAAATAAATAATAAAGCCACCAAGGATTTACCTGGAACTAGTTATTTAGTGTAAGCAACCTATATAATATGTTGAGCATTAAAAAAATATCTTGAATGTATTCATTTCATATCATTTTCTATATGTCTCTTATAAAACACCATAATCTATAGTTTGTGAGTTGAGTGTGAACAGTTACAAATTGTTGTATTTATAGATTTTTCTAAAAAACAAATTTGCTACACCCAATGCATGTCTTGCAGCTGTTCAACACAGAACTCTATTCTAAACTTTTTTTCTACTTGGAGAAAGTTGCTGATAAATGATAGCAGTGTGTAGCTTAAAGGGTTACTAAAGGCTATTTTTTTAATGAAAATAACAAACATGTTATACTTATCTGTTCTGTGCATGCGATTGCACAGAGCAGTGTCAGGATAAGGTAATGCAGCGCCCAGGACTAAAATGCCTAACTGAGCCCCCCTTTCCTGGTTCATGCTGTGCAAGCTTAGGGGACCACACACCCAGCAGTTACTTGCTTGTCAAAATCACTGACACTGTCACTACAACTGTCAGCCTTGTAACAGAAGGAAGGCACCCCTATCCCTACAGCAAACCATTGCACCCAGGGCTACATCCCCTTCTGCCCACCCCTTGTACTGGCTTTGGCACAGAGTTGCCCCCAACTTCCTCTTTCTAGGTTCCCCGTTGGCTCTCTCCACTCCTCCTTCTCTGTACCTGACCCCCGTAGCAAGAGCTTGCTATGGGGCAGACTTATGAGCTTGTTCCAGAACCATGCTCTATGTGTCTATAGAGACACATAATGCAGCTCAGCCCTGGCCCCCCGCTCCCCTCACTCCTCAATGGTTCCCACTGCTCCCTCCATGTTCAGTGAGGAGAGAGAGGGAGCAGCAATGCTGCTTTCGGACACAGCACTGGATTGAGATCCAGCCCAGGTAGGTATTTAGGAAGTCTGGAGGGGAAGCTAACCTTGGAAGGTTGTTTACCTTAAAGCATAGAATGAATTAAGGTAAAAAAAATTCAGCCTTTGTTGAGGATCAGCTCATTGCTGAGGGTCATTCTATTGCTTAGCACAAATGGTACACGTGCCTTTCAAACAAACAGGCAAGCATAAAGATTGCCATGTTTCCAAATCTTTTTTTTTTAGTCTGAGTTCTCAGTTACATTATTTCCTTTCCAACCTGAGCCCCTCATAGTACACATTATTACTAGCATGCCCACTAGACAAGAGGTCAGCTTCTTTACAAGATGTGGTGTCAGTGACTTCAACTCCTAATCAACATCCGTGAAAGGATTTTCATCTTCCACCATTTCCTCCCCTAAATTGTTCCTGTTGATGAATCTAGTCAGCTATTTATATATTTTTTGTAGATGATCTGTATTTCATAAGTTAGTAAATGCTCAGGTATACTTATGATCCCTATTGCTGTTACTGTGCATAATGGAGTCATTAGTCAGTCTATGTTGGTTGTAAAGGTGGTTCAGCATTTATGTGCTGGAATTCTTTCACATTCCAACAGAAGACTGTCCTGATCCTGATAGTTTTTAATGCATATAGGAGACTCTACTGCCAATTTCCTTTTCCAAGCCTGGATAATTTTTAGGGATTTTTGCACCACTAAAATTAAAGGATAAGTTCACCTTTGGAACATGTTACATATTCCACCCATATTTAGTGTAGAACATGTAACATGTTTCAGCTCTTGCCTCTTCTCCTTCCGATCCCCCTTCCCTTTGACAGCGGATGGGGGTCTTCTCCCCACAGCCACTGTCACAATGTCAGAACAGCACAGCTATGCAGGGCATCACCTGCTCGGCTGTGTTGTTCATTCACAGAGTCCTGTGAATGAATGACATGGCTTGTAGTTCTCTATGAACTGTGAGAGTTCTATGGAGCGCTCTCATAGTTCAAGGATTCTTCCTGCAAATCATCAATGGCATGCCGGTATTCTGTACGGGCAGACAGTAAACTGAGATTCTGCAGGATCCTGGCATTGCACTCCGATCAATGCTTTACAGGCTCGAGTGTAAAAAAAATAATAAATGCACTTTTTTACTTAAAAAAAGATGTAAATTTATTATTTTTGTATAAAAGGTGAACTTATCCTTTAGTGTGTGTTGAACAACGATGATATATCAGTTGGGTAAAGCAAACTGCATCAAAACTATTCTGGTTGTTACTTGCCGCATGAAGAAGAGAGGAAACCATTTGGCAGTTTTCTTGTGGATAAGCACCGCACACCTGCCTGCTGTATGTCTTCTGTTCTGCAGATTCATAAGACATAATACTGTATGGTAGAGCTCCATTATACACATATAATATGGAGGAGAAGCAACAACTTTGTCATGAATTTGTTGGGAAAAGGATATAAAGGATGTGAAGGAAAGAAAGAATGGGCAGTCCTAGAGCTTGATTATTGCCAACATTTCATGTACTATCTTATTCAAGAAATATCTATAGCTTAGTATCTGGCCCAGACATACTCTGTAGATTTACAAAAAGGGCTTGAATCCATTAACGGGTATGGCAATAATGCAGGTTATTAAAGGTAGGTGGTAATTAAAGAGGGAATGGGAAAATGAGAAATCTTAGTACATATATCCTTGTTGGAAAAAGTACAAATGCATAGCAGATATCTGAGAGGTAAGCATTTCTAAATTATGTAAGTATAACTAAAGGCAAAACTTTTTTAATTAGTTTTTGACAGAGTGGAGAGGGACTAGAGCACCTGTAATGTTTTTATTGCTGTCTATGTCCTATTTACCATTATCACTGAAAATTAATCTAAAGGAAAATCCCACATTTTGGGTTCCCCTCATAAAAGTAATAGAGGGCAGATCTCCTAATGGGGACCTGGGGGATGGGGCAAGGGATTCCCTTAATGTGCAGGGATTTCCCTTCATTTCCTATTTTGGCTTTGGGACTGAAAGTGAAAAGAAATCTCCCAAATGGGAAACAGGTTGCAAAAAAACTCTCCATTACTCTATCCAAAATGAAAATAAAAGTTTTGCCTATAGTTCTACTTTAAGCTAATTATTTATTTTTTATGTAATTGTATCATTCAGGCTGAGTGGAGCATCGCCATTCTTGGGAGAGAATAAGCAGGAGACTCTCTCTAATATTACTGCTGTTAACTATGAATTTGATGAAGAATTCTTCAGCCACACCAGTGATCTGGCAAAAGACTTCATCAGGAAGCTTCTTGTGAAGAATACAAGGTAACAAAAATGTCCATGTTATTTTAATGCCACTTGAGTACACCAAAGGGAAAATAAAATGGATAACTACACTGCTCAAAAAAAAATTAAAGGAACACTTTAAAAACTCATCAGATCTCAATGGGGAAAAATATCATGATGGATATTACTGTTATGGACTGGGTAATGTGTTGAATGTAAGGATGGCCCTACCACTTGATGGAAATGAAAATTACCAACCTACAGAGGATTGAATTCAAAGACACCCTGAAAATCAAACTGAATAAATAATGCAGCAGGCTAGTCCATTTTGCTGAAATTTCATTGCAGCAACTCAAAATGGTACTCAGTAGTTTAAATTGCCCACACGTGCTTGTATGCATACCTGACAACATTGGGGCATGCTCCTAATGAGACGATAGATGGTTTCCTGGGGTATTTCTTCCCAAATCTGGACCAGGGCATCACTGCGCTAATGGACAATCTGAGATGCAACCTGGTGGCATCAGGTGGACCGAAACATGATATCCCAGATTTAGTTCAGGCGAGCATGGAGGCCATTCAATGGTATCAATTCCTTCATCCTCCAGGAACTGCCTGCATACTCTCACCACATGAGGCCGGGCATTGTCATGCACCAGGAGGAACCCAGGACCAACTGCACTAACATAGGGTCTGACAATGGGCCAAGGATTTCATCCAGATACCTAATGGCAGTCAGGATGCCATTGTCTAGCCCAGTGTTTCTCAAGCTTTTTTTCAGTCAAGGCACCTTTTAACTGACTCCCGGCCTCCATATAAGGAAATGACAGGCGAGCAGTTGCTTTCTCATTTTGGGGGGACATCATATGATGTCCTCCCACTCTAGCTGCACATGAGCGCCCCTGGGGACATGCGATGATCGGTAGTGCACTGTGCCCCTGAGACACAGCAGATCACCAATTGCAGTAAAGAGCTGATGACACAGGCTCTGTCATGTGATCAGCTCGCATGTAAATAGGAAATGCCAGTTGTCGGCTCTCCTTTCCTCATGCTGACAGCGCTTGAGGAGAACCAGTAAGCGGCATTCCTCAGAGGGGACATCTACACTGATAATCAGGGCATTGATCATCAGTGTCCTGATTATCAGTGCAGCCCCATCAGGGCTGCCTTTCAGTGCCCACAATTGCCGCCTGTCATTGCCCATCAATGCCACATACCAGTGCACATCAACACCACATATCAGTGCACATCAGTGCCACATAGCAGTGCCCATCAGAGCTACCTTTCAGTGCCAACTATCAGTTCCAGTCAGTGATGCCTATCAGTGCCGCCAATCAGTGGCACCTATCAGTGCCAGTCAGTGCCGTCTATCAGTGCTAGTCAGTGCTGCTTATCAGTGCCGTCAGTGCTGCCTATCAGTGTCAATCAGTGCCATATATGAGTGTTGCCTTTCAGTGCCCATCAATGATGCCTGTCAATGCCCATCAGTGCCTCCTCTTCAGTGCTACCTATCAGTGCCAATCGGTGCCCCCTATCAGTGCTGATCAGTACCTTCTATCAGTGCCCATCACTGAGGCCCATCAGTGCCACATATCATTTATCACATATCAACTGCCCATCAGTTCTGCCTTTCAGTGTCCATCAATGATGCCTGTCAATACTCATCAGTGCCACCTATCAGTGCCTCCTGTCAGTGTTGTCTATCAGTGCCGCCTATCAGTGCCCATCAGTGCAGCCCATCAGTGCCCATCACTGCAGCCTCATTAGCACACATCAGTAAAGGAGGAAAAATTTACTTATTTACAAAATTGTATAACAGAAACTAAGAAAAAACTGTTTTTTTTTCAACATTTTCAGGCTTTTTTAGTTTGTTTAACAAAAAATAAAAAACCCAGTGGTGATTAAATACCACCAAAAGAAATATCTATCTGTTTAAAAAAAATGCGAAAAGTTTTGTTTGGGTACAGGATTGCATGAACGCACAATTGTCATTCAAAATGCGACAGCACTGAAAGCTGAAAATTGACCTGGGCAGGAATGGGGTAAAAGTGCCCAGTAGACAAGTAGTTAAAATTATGGACAGTCCAGAGGCACCCTTTGAAATTATGGACAATCTTTGGGCACCCCATTCCAAAACGGGGTGTCTCAAGACTGTCAATGATTTTAAAAGGACACCCCTTAAATGTGAAAAACTATTCTAATAGTTTTACATAATGCAGCAGCATCCACACACGTAGGACACCCAACACTAGAGGTGATTTATTCTTCCAAAGCAAATACACTTTTGCACACTGGTACTGACTAGTATTCCAGTGTTTCTCTTCTCCCTCAGGTTTTATCCTTCACTGAGCTAATCTGACCCCAACACTGATGGGGAGGGTCAAACTAGGATGCTGTGCAGTAAGCTGACATCCCCCTTATCAACTGATGATGTAATTGGTTGTCAGGACACAGGCGGCTAGAAGGTTGTAATGGTGCACAATGAAAACCTGTGGCTTTGTGAAACTAAAAGGCGGGCTTGTTCCCCCTGTTTGCTTGTATACAAATTTTGTGCAATTTTTAGACATTTTGCCAAGGCACCCCTGAAGAAACCACAAGGCACGCCAGGGTGCCTGGGCACCCTGGTTAAGAGAGGCTCAAAGGCCTGTAGAGGTTTGTGCGTCCCTCCATGGGTATGTCTCCCCAGACCATCACTGACCCACCACCAAAACGGTGCACTTTAAAGATAATGTTTATTTTTGTCAGGTTAGCAGTTTTGTTAAAATGAAATACGGTATATTATTGTATAGATTTCTTTATTACAGGTATTTATATAGTGCTGTCAATTTACACAGCATTTTACATATATATTGTACATTCACATCATTCCCTAGCTGACCACTTACCCTCTGTGCTGCTCGTGCTATATTTCCCTTATTGTCATTTCTAAAAATGCATTTGATTTCACTGAAAATTAATTTAAAATTACATTTCTATTTCTGTAGAAATTTCAGTAAGATAGTTTATAATACAATTTATGCCCCAAGTGTTCAAGAGAAAAATTTATTAAATCTTTACCTTATGTCATTTGGGGCTCTAAAACTTCTCAGTTGTCCCCAAATATAAAGTAATGGGAACAGCAAACTAAATTAAAGCGTAACTAAACCTAAAAACAAAAGATTAATATATTGCAGTTTACCAGTCCTTAGATGTCCTACTTTTTCATGCTTTTTCCTTTATTTTCACCTGACAGTCCTGCAAATAATTTCCGGTCCTAGAGTGGCTATGCTTACTCCTTCACTGTATATATAGAGGGAGCTATGGTTGCCATCCTAGACAGATCTCATTATAGGAACTAGAAACACATCTTCTTTTCTTCATCTCAATTGCATAGGGAGCAGGGGAATTTGTAGTTATCAGAAAATAGCTTGAAATGAAGATAGCATTGTAATTTTAGTTCAATCTACAGGAAGTTTCAAGGACGCTGCATTTCCAGCAACATCAACTGGTATTTTCTGTACTTGCTGAAAATGTTCTTAGCCTGAAAAATTAAAACTAATGCAGTCAACACATACTGGTAAGCTTCACTATATTACATGAATGTTTTTGTGTTCAGATATCTTTAATTTGATAATTAAAAAATATATATTTTTTAAATATATTCTTCAGATTTTTTTTAACATATAAAAAAGTCATTTTAACATATATATTTTTTACATATATTTGTAAATACATTCCAAAAAATTTAGATTTGTATTTTGAAAGACATACAGTGTATTTGAAATGTATTTTTTAAATATATTTAAATATTTTTCATATATTTTCTAATAAAAACGAATTTCAACATACAGTATATATATATATATATATATTTTTTTTTTTATTTTTTTTTTTTTTTTATTTATTGAAATATATTGAATATGGCCAAAATTGTAGCATTTCAAACATGTCAATATATTTGGGAAGATTATTTTTATAATATATTTAAAATATATTTTTCTTTCTTCCATATGTGTATGAGAAGACTACAGGTCCCATCTTCCACTGCAGCAGACACTCACAGAACATGGCTACACAAGTGTAGTGATGTCACCTCACTTGTACTTAATTGTTTACTTCCTCCAGCCCCTAACAGAAGGTCCATACCCCCATACTAACCTAGAGTTGGGGGGTAAACAATGCAGTAGCCTTGCAGTTGCTTTGCAGACATTATTGCAAAAAAATATATAAACAAATAATAACAGACTATGCGCCTTTCAAAAAATTATTTAAAATGACAGGCAATTTACATTTTTTCTGTCTTTCCTGTCCAGAACCAGTCCCTTCTTCTGGTAGAAATCCCCATCTAGATTTAAATTTGGGGAAACAAAGCTGCTCCAAGTCTTGTACCCTTTGGCTAGCTTTACAAGATGGACAATTTGTAGTTCATTGTGCTATTGGATAATTGCTAGGCTTAGCAAATGATCCCTAACAGATAGAACAATGACTCCCTATGGAATACATTGAGTAGCATCTTGTAGCGCTCACTGGCACAATATTGGGGAAATATGCCATCTTAAACATGCTACTTGTGTAGCTTAATCCATAGAGAGCCATTTTTTTTCAACTTTTTAGCGGCCATTTGCTACTGCTAGTGATTTAAGTAGTGTAAGTGAGTTTCAAATATCTTGTGTGTAGCTCCAACTTAATTATATGGTTGCCATGAGTAGCTAAATCTCTCAGTAGCAAGAGATTAAAATTGCCTGTTTTAGCTTAGCCCTATGGCTTGCAGCAGTACAATGATTGAATCTCTTTACACTGCTTATACAGTCAGCCATATTTCTGGTCAAGCTGTAAATAAAATACTGAAACTACAATTGATTAATTTAAACTGATTAAATAATTACCCTAAAAGGAGAATTTTTTTAAAATGGGAAATGAGGAAACTTTCAAGAAGTATTTGAGTTTAGTGGACCAGGAGAGAAGATACCCAGTGCTGCATATTCTGGGTCTGTGCAGATTAGTTTGCTTATCCCCTCTGAATATATTCACAAGTACAGTTATTTCCATGGTCACTGTATAAGAAGTTGTTAAAATGTTATTGGAAGAGAAAAATAGTAATATCTACCTATCTGTGTGACTTTGTAATATATATATTGGCCATAACCTTCTAACCTTCACATATAATGGCCATAACCTTCTAACTGCTGCAAAAGCCAAAAGGTTTAAAGGCTAAATTCATCTTTTTTTAAGAAAATTTCCTACACACAAAAGTAGCTCAGGAAGTTCAAATAGATTGTATTCTTTTTCTTTAAAATGTTCTTTAAATTATGAGCAAAACGCATAGGCCATTGCTGCCCCTTTCCCCCTTAGAAATCTGGCCAGCATCACAGGAGCGAGCAGGGTTCCTCATTCCAATTCCAATCAGCAAAGCTCCATAGAAGAAGCCTGTGTATGCGCCAGCCTTGCCCCCTGGATAATGTCAGAGACCTGACCGATACTTTGCTGCAGGGATTCAAATGAGCTGTATTGCCTGCTCCTGTGATGCTGGAAGCAAACCTATAAAGGCTGCAGTGTCTGGAATATGGCCAGGATGTGTAAGCACTAACTGGGAGTTTTTTGCCCAGTCTCCTGAGAGGGAGGTGGAAAATTATTATTATTATTCAGGATTTATATAGTGCCTACAGTTTGCTCAGCACTTTACAATATAAAGGGAGACAATACAGCAACGATACAGTGCAATACAAGAGGGTTAGGAGGGCCCTGCTCCTTGTAGCTTACAATCTAGGAGGGAGGGGCTGGTGGTACAAAAGGTAATAACTGTGGGGGATGGACTGGTAGGAGGAATAGAAGATTCCTTTATTAGCTGAAGGCGGGATAGGCTTCTCTGAAGAGATAGGTTTTCAGAGATCGCCTAAAAGTGGGCAGAGTAGGCGATAGTCGGATATATTGGGGTGGAGAGTTCCAAAGGATGGGGGAGGCTCTGGAGAAGTCCTGGAGATGAGCATGGGAGGAGGAGACTAGGGAACTAGAGAGTAGGAGGTCCTGCGAGGAGCAGAGAGGACGATATGGGTGACATTTGGAGACAAGATTGGTGATGTCATTTGAGGCAGAGTTACTAATGGCTTTCTATGTTATTGTTAATGTTTTGAATTTTAATGGGAAGCCAGTGGAGGGATTGGCAGAGAGGGGTGGCAGATATGGAACGGTTAGTAAGGTGAATGAGTCTGGCAGCAGCATTCATGATAGACTGAAGAGGGGAAAGCCTGCAATTAGGTAGGCCAATGAGGAGGGAGTTACAATAGTCAAGGCAAGAGATAACAAGGGAGGGAATAAGTTGCTTAGTGGTTTCAGAGGTAATGGAAATGGTCTACTGGTACAGTATTTACTTACAATAAACAACAAATTAGCAACATGCACAATTTCTATACTGGGGCTACTTGTGTGCATGAACAATTTTTTAAAAAAGGTGAACTTAGCCTTTAGCCATACCTAGAATCAGTTCTTGTGACTGCTAATTTTTGGAATGCATTTCCAGTGAACTGGGCGATTTCTTCAAATATCTTGTGCATTGTTTTCCGGATTCAAGCTTGTGTTGTTGAAAATCAGTTAAATATAACTAATATTTCCACAATGACATGAGTAAGGCTGGCTATAGGTTATGCAATTTTCTTTCCTTCAGCCGTGGGTTGAAAGAAAGAAAATTGCTCCCGCTGCACTATTATATTCTGACAGTGGCTATAGCTGCCGGCAGTGATTGCAAGGAAAAAAAACCTGACAGGCTGGTTGTACTGCAGTAGACTGATAGATCCTTTCCTGCTGAACCGGCCAAATTTCAATCCATCTGTTGCCAGTTTAAGACAGGGCTATCCTCCCCATATAACAAAAGTGCTGTAAAGTCCTAACTTCACCATCACATGTACAGGGATGACTGCGCAATAACCAGGGGCGGACTGACCATTTGTGCACTCGGGCACCGCTCGAGGTAGTATGGGGGCCCCATGAAATGCCCCTGGTACCTTTTATAGGTTTTTTTTGGTTATGCTTTGAGTGTGGGCAAGGACACAGGGGCCCAATGATCCCCTATTGCCCAGGGGCCCCATGAGTTGTCAGTCCACCCCTGGCAATAACATGGGGAAGTCATGCTTGCAGAAATGCTTGTGTGACTATAGGTAAAGAAAATAGGGTGTGCATCCCGTTCTTATTATTTAATGTTTTGTTGGAATAGTAAACAATAAAAGTAAATGTGGTGAATTTACGCAATAAAATTCTTAGGTACAAAAGCTACAGAGTTACTAGTTCTGTCTGTTTTAGAACAGTGTGCAATAAATATGTTATTAGTAGTCTAAAAATATACACAAACAGTGACGTGTTAAGAAAGGGAGAGAGGAAGTTGCTGAAGAGTATTGTAATGACAGCGAAGTCCTTTGTTAGCTGATCTCTCCTAATAGGGTCAAAAATTTTAGATCTGTACACTGCCCACCCTCAGGCTCACATTTCTACATCTGCTGTCTCCAATAATAGGTATAATAATAGGTGTGCACTACTCATCCCAGTCCTCAGTGCTTGCCGCTGGGAGAGTATTAAGGTCATCAGCATGCAATAGTTGACACAATTACTCTTTTTCAGTTAAAACCCAGAAACAGTAGGAAGCTTTTGGTATTTTGAGTGAATATGGTACTAATTGCTGCCAGAGTTTTAGTGTAGGATTTTTCATTTTGTATTGCTGCACACTTTAATCTTTCAAACATTGTTTGCTCAAAGGTAAAAGTAGAAATTACTTGCATAACTATATAATTGAACAATAGTGGGATTATTTGCAAAACTGTTTCATCTGATATGTTATTCCTTTCTGTTTACATGCTCTCAGTCACTATAGTACATGTATGTATGTATGTATATATATATTGTCAAGACAATGAAACATAAAAATGGAACAGGGTTTACAGAATCTTAAGCAATATTACTGCACCAGTACAATTACACATAGACAGAACGATGTGGATACGCAGATCCTGTAAAAGACATAATAACAGAAGCAATGACCAATGAAAACTGGGAACACAGGGATCCAAGACCATCTTGACAATACATAGCTTTTACCTTTTATTCCTCCCCATCCAGATGTGTAATAAAATGGGGGAAAGGAACAAAGCCAAAAAATAAACCATTAATAAAAATAAATAAATAAAAAACCCAACAACAGTAACTGGTTCACCCGAGTCATCTCAGCAGAGAAAACTGGATAGTTACATGCCTGATTTAGAATGTCAAAGGAACAAGTTTTAATCAGAGTATAGCATCAAGTCAGTTAAACTCCTGGGATATTGATCTGGTCAGTTAAGTAGCAGAGGGGGTTGTTAATCAGTTTCAGTTGCTTTGGTGTTAAGGAAATTAACAACAGGTGCACTAGGTGGGCAACAATGAGACGACACCCAAAACAGGAATGGTTTTAAAGGTGGAGGCCACTGACATTTTTTCCCCTACTCATCTTTTCTGACTGTTTTTCACTAGTTTTGCATTTGGCTAGGGTCAGTGTCACTACTGGTAGCATGAGGTGATACCTGGACCCTACAGAGGTTGCACAGGCAGTCCAACTCCTCCTGGATGGCACATCAATACATGCCATTGCCAGAAGGTTTGCTGTGTCTCCCAGCGCAGTCTCAAGAGCATGGAGGAGATTCCAGGAGACAGGCAGTTACTCTAGGAGAGCGAGCTGGACAGGACAATTGAAGGTCCTTAACCCATTAGCAGGATGGTATCTGCTCCTTTGTGCAACGAGGAATAGAATGAGCACTGCCAGAGCCCTACAAAATGACCTCCAGCAGGTCACTGGTGTGAATATCACTGTCCAAACAATCAGAAACAGACTTCATGAGGGTGGCTTGAGGGCCCAACTTCCTCTAGTGGGTCCTGTGCTCACTGCCCGGCACCATAGAGCTCGATTGACATTTACCATTGAACACCAGAATTGGCAGGTCTGCCACTGGTGCCCTGTGCTTTTCACAGATGAGAGCAGGTTCACCCTGAGCACATGTGACAGATGTGAAAGGGTCTGGAGAAGCCTTGGAGAACATCTTGCTGCCTGTAACATCGTTCAGCATGACCGTTTTGATGGTGGGTCAGAGATGGTCTGCGGAGGCATATCCATGGAGGGATGCACAGACCTCTACAGGCTAGACAATGGCACCCTGACTGCCATTAGGTATCGAGATGAAATCCTTGGACCCATGTGCAGCTAGAGTGGGAGGACGTCATATGATGTTCTCCCAGAATGAGAAAGCAACCGCCATTTCCTTATATGGCGGCCGGGAATCGGTTAAAAGGTGCCTTGACTGAAAAAAGGTTGAGAAACACTGGGCTAGACACCCTGGCTGCCATTATGTATCAGGATGAAATCCTTGGACCCATTGTCAGACCCTATGCTGGTGCAGTGGGTCCTGGGTTCCTCCTGGTGCACGACAATGTCTTGCCTTATGTGGCGAGAATATGCAGGCAGTTCTTGGAGGAAGAAGGAATTGATATCATTGAATGGCCCCATGCTCGCCTGACCTAAATCCAATAGAACACCTCTGCGATATCATGTTTCGGACCATCCGACGCCGCCAGGTTGCACCTCAGACTGTCCAGGAGCTCAGTGATGCCCTGGTCCAGATCTTGGAGGAAATACCCCAGGACACCATCCGTTGTCTCATTAGGAGCATGCCCCGATGTTGTCAGGTATGCATACAAGCATGTGGAGGCCAAACAAACTACTGAGTACTATTTTGAGTTGCTGCAATTAAATTTCAGCAAAATGAACTAGCCTGCTGCATTATTTTTTCACTTTGATTTCAGTCCTTTGTAGGTTGATAATTTTCATTTCCATCAAACATTGTGGCATCCTTACATTCCTAACACATTACCCAGTCCATATCAGCATAGATTTCCATCATTTTTCCCCATTGAGATCTGATGCATTTTAAAGTGTTCCTTTACTTTTTTTGAGCAGTGCATATAAATATATATATATATATATATATATATATATATATATATATAAATCACCATTTAGATCTGTGCTTATTTGTCTAACTCTTGTTTTCAGGAAGCGTCTCACTATCCAGGAAGCCCTGTCTCATCCATGGATCACAGTGAGTATAATAGAGTGTTCCTGCATGAAGATGATATATTACTTGTACAAGCCGGTGTGCTGACTGACCTGAAGAGCAATGCTTCAGTGTGTTTTGTTGATGTGGATTAGTATTTGCATTTTTAACAAAAGACTGCTTAATTACCATCATATTTTAATAGTTTCGGTAGTAGTGTATGCAATTAATGGACTAATGTGCACTAGAAACCAAAGATTTCTGTGGCAGGCAAGGTTCACACTATATAAGCATGGATTGATATGTGTTGATGAGCATATAGCAAAGCAGTTTTACATTTCTGCTATATACCGGTTGTTTGACAATAACTTTGTAATTACTTAAGAACAATTAAAATAACAAAGAAATACATGTATATATTTTTAAGGACACACATGGTGTGATATTGCCTTTCAAAAAATAATTTTGTGTTATGCAATCCTTAGACAAAAAAAGTATCAAAATTAAGAAAATGCACTGGAAAAACAGCTGGTTATAGCATTTTTAGGAACATTAACATTTTATTAGTGTTTTTACAGTACATGTAGAGGAGAAATAAATAGCTAGAAAAAAAAACTGTTAGGAGCGTTTTAGTAGCGTTTAGGAGCATTTAGCGTTTTTTTTTTCTGCTGGAAAAACGCTCAAAAAAAAACTCTTAAAAAAAAAAAACATTTCATTTTCTGCTCCTAGATGCTGAAGCTCAAAAAAATGCCAATAGTCTAAAGTAGTGTGCATGGACACATAGGATAGCACTATTTAAGTGTAAAAAAAAAATGCTAATAACAGCTCCTAGGAGCTTAAAAATCACTAGTGTGAATGGAGCCTAAATTTTAATGGTTAATAAAATAGAAATAAAAAAAAGAAGGAAAATAATAGTTGAAGGGAGAAGGGGAAGAATTGGTTAATTAGGGATGATTAGGGTAAAGTAAGGATTAATAAGGCATTTAATCAACAAATTGTATTTTTAAAAAACATTTTTTTATTTGTTTGTTTGCTTTAACTGACATCATCTGCAAATGGAAGTGTGTCCCTTTGATTAGCAGATGAATGAAACAGAGTAGATAGAGGAGTAACACTGTACTTTGTATCTCTCTATTTTCACTGTGAACAACACTGATACCTTGGGTTCACATCAGTGCAGTGCGGTAAATCCCATGTGATTCGCACAGGAACCGCACCGCATTCCTGTACAAATCACATGCGATTTGTATGCGGTGCGATTGGAGCCATACATTTTGTATGGCTCTATTCGCACCGCCCCCACACCAGGACCCTTTTTTGGTCTGCACTAGAATCGGATCACATGGGTATTCACACCTTTGCAATCCGATTCTGCACTTCGCACAGCGTTTTGCAGACCGCTTTTGGGGTGTTGTTAACTTAACATACACACCCACAGCGGTTCACATGAACGGGGTGCGAGTCTGATGTGGTGCTGAAAAATACTGAGAATTCCGCACCCCATCAGTGTGAACCAGGGCATAAACACTGAGTCAGACCATTCTTTTTTGGCAGCAGCAGATGCTAGAGCTTCTGTAGGTACACAGTAAAGGCAGCCATAGATAGATCCAATCATGGCTGGTTCAGCAGGAAACGGCTGAGATTCGATCCATCTATGGACAGGGATCAGGCTCGCTCTACCCAAGTTGATCCATCAATTGACTTGGGTACAAAGAAAGACACAATAGCTCTGTGGAAGGGATTCTCCCATCAATACTGACTGTGTTAATGGGGGAACAGGGGCAGACTGAACATTTGGAAACTCAGGCACTGCCCAAGGGCCCGGGGTCAGTAGGGGGCCCCATAAGATGCCCCTGGTACCTTTTTCATAGGCTTTTTTGAGTTTGGGCAAGGACACAGGGGCCCAATGATCCCCTATTGCCCAGGGGCCCCATGAGTTGTCACTCCGCCCCTGTGGGGGAATCAAGAGATTTTCTTTCCTTCCATCCCCCCACCACCATCACCTTAACAGGCAGCTGATGGGGATGTTTTCATGCTGAGATGCTTCGCTTTGTATCTGTAACAAAGTTTACCAGACATGAAGTGATGCCTGCCAAAAAGTGCACATTCAAGAAAATTGAGAAATGCTGCAAAGGCCCCACTATCATGTGCAATGCACATGGTTGTAGCAGGATTGTCACCAAAAATGGAGTTAAAACAGGTGGTGAGGTGGCATCACATCACTTCCCCATTGCCTGTCAGTAGCCTCTGTGGCGTGATCTGAATGTAGATTGGGCTTCGGGGACAAGGGAGATTCAGTCGCATGTCTAAATCTACCCTAACTCACAGCTTCATTTTCAGAAGTGAGCATTACCAGCAACTGAGAGTGAAGGGGGGCACAGCTGGATGTACTACAGACGTCCTTTATACTTTGACATTAATTTTGCCATGTGTAGCATATCCAAGGCCCAGGGTACTGTCCATGATATGTTTTTATTTGCACTGACAGTTTAATTTTTACGGCAAGCTGTTAAGGTATCCCCCCCCCCCTTCTTCTAAGGTCCAAGCAATACTGATGCTTGCACTGCCTGAACCTTAGAAGCAGGGGGTGTACCATGAAAGCTAGTCCTGAAAATATAACTGTTAGTGCAAATAAAAAAGTATCACAGACAGCACTCAAATCTGTTTATGTAAGTGCACTAATATGACTCCCATCACCTTAAACAATAAAGTGAACTAAACCCAAGAACAGAAAATTAATATATTGCAGCTTAACAGTCTTTAGACATGATGGCTGCATCAGTTTCATTTTGTATGCTTTTTTCCTTTATTTTTTACATGTTGATCCTGTCAGTATCACACTTCCTGTTCTATAGTGACAACACCTACTCACTACACAGCATCTCTAGGGAGAAGCAGCATAATCAGCCTAGGACAAGATTACTGAAATACTTTTACATAACAGTCTTGCTGTGTGTCTGCACAGTGTCCTGTACCTCTGAACCAATTGGCTTTTGTGCTTTGTGTGGTCTGTTTTTAGAAAATAGAGGAAAAGTCACTGGCAGGATCAACCAGGTACTACACATAGAAGAAGTACATGAAAATGAAAGAGACAAAGAGTTATAAAATACACATATGTGAAGACACACATAGAAAAGATATAAATATTTAGGGTAACATACACTTTAAGGATTTTATTCAATTAACTTGGTAGGTGGATATGCCCAAAATGCGGAATAAAGGACACTACACACTGCAACCTAATGTAGTGGTGTGAAGAGGTCAAAAGGAAAGCAGAGGATTGAATAGACATTTCAGCATGCAGAAAAAAATGGATTACCGTGTCTCTGCTGTACACAAGCCTTATGATCTGGCAGGGTGTTGTAGGCTGTATCAGCCTTTCTCAATCTTTTCAAGGCAGAGGAACCCTTGAAATAACTTTCTGGTCTCAGGGAACCCCTGCTAAAAGTTACTATATCTACAACTCATGATACAGTAGTTTGATGAGAAAAGTAAAACACCTTCTGCGCATAAGTGTGCTGGACCTGGATCTTTTCACACATGCCAAAGCCAATGGCCACTATTCTATCCTCCTGCTCCTCGGCCGCGGCCTTCAACACTGTTGACCACCCTCTCCTCCTTGCCAAACTGCACTCCCTTGGCATCAAGGACACTGCTCTTTCCTGGTTCGCCTCCTACCTTTCCCAACGCTCCTTCAGCGTCACCTACAACACTGCCACCTCCCCCTCCCTCCCCCTCTCTGTCGGGGTCCCCCAAGGCTCTGTCCTCGGGCCCCTCCTCTTCTCCATCTATACCTCCTCCCTTGGCAAACTTATTCACTCCCACGGCTTCAATTACCACCTCTATGCCGACGACACCCAAATTTACCTCTCCACCCTCCACCTCACCCCCTCGCTCTCTGCCCGCATTGCCCACCTCCTAAACGACATATCAGGCTGGATGTCGCTCCATTTCCTTAAACTTAACCTATCCAAAACCAAGCTCCTGGTCTTCCCCCCACCCCGTGCCCTCCCCCCATCCTCTCCATCACTACTAACAACGCCACCATCTCTCCCACCCCACACGCCAAAGTCCTGGGTGTCACCCTGGACTCCCACCTCTCCTTCCTACCCCACATCCAACTGCTATCTAGATCTTGCAGGCTCCACCTCCGCAACATCTCCAAGATACACACATTCCTCACCCCAGACACTACTAAACAACTCGTACACTCCCTCATCATCTCACGCCTGGACTATTGCAATTCCCTTCTCACTGGCCTACCCAAACGAATGCTATCCCCACTCCAGTCTATCCTGAACTCAGCGGCTAGACTCATCCACCTCACCAAGCGCTCCACATCTGCCTTCCCCCTCTGCCAATCCCTTCATTGGCTCCCGATTGCCCAACGCATCAAATTCAAACTGCTAACTCTGACCTACAAAGCCATTCACAATGCCGCCCCGAACTACATAATTGACCTGATACCCAAATACTACCCTACCCGTGCCTTCCGCTCCGCATAGGACCTCCTACTCTCTAGCTCCCTGGTCTCCTCCTCCCACGCCCGATTGCAGGACTTCTCCAGGACTTCCCCCATCCTCTGGAATTCCCTACCCCAATCCATCAGACTGTCACCAACCCTCCTCACCTTCAGGCGCACCCTGAAAACCCTCCTCTTCAGGGAAGCCTACCCCAACCTCACCTAACAACTAACCTCCTCCACTCCTCCACTCCTCCCACCACTCCATCCTCCACAGCCATCTCCTCCTGTACCACCTTCCCCTCCCTCCTAGATTGTAAGCTCAAAAGAGCAGGGCCCTCGAACCCCTCGTGTAGTGTATTGTTACTGTCTTGTCTCATGTTCTGTCCCCCTTGCTACTGTACAGCACTGAGCATACCTTTTGGCGCTATATAAATACTGTATAATAATAATAATAGTGACATCCAAGGGGGTGCCAGGTCTTGCTGCCCTTCGGCGACCAGGGAAGTCCTGTAACAACTAGAAGAAAAACAAGTGACAGAGGGTGCACCAGCCTTGTGCACTATCCATGGGGTACTTTATTTATAAAAGATAAAAACATACATACAAACAATGAAGAGACTACAGTATGTAGAGCCACCAGCTCAGGACACAGTGGAAAATGGAACGCAGAAAGAACCAACTGCCGCTGGGTTCCAAAAATGGCTAAATGGCTTACACGTTTCAAGCGCAACCCCTCTTCATCAGAGCCAAATGTGTAGAGCCTAATCCTCGCATATAAATACCCCACCACCACCCACCCAGTAGTTTGATGGTCAATGAAAGGAATGCTCCTCAAGCTGGCCATAGATGGATCAAATCCCGGGTGGTTCAGCAGTGACCGGTCAAAATTCAATCCATCTATGGGCAGGCTGGGTGTTCTAAGGTCAAACCATTGCTCCTCGCCAGCAGAACAAAATAGCACTGTGGGAGAGATTCCCCTAACAACACTGGCTGTGTTGATGAGGGAAATAAGCTAAAGAAATTCACATCATCTATTGCATATCTTACACTTGTGGACATTGGAAAGAATTACCCCCTTACAGATCGCTAAAAAAGACCAATGGTGTCAGTGTAAACGTAACAGAAAGGCAGAAATTGCTCATTGCTCGTGGTACCCCTAGCAACCTGAGGAACCCTAGGATTTCATGGAAACCCTGGTCGAGAAACCCTGCTCTATATACTCATTATGTGTGGTCTCTTACAAAAAAGCTAGCAGACAGGCAGTGAGACCTATATCACTTAATTTGCCATGCTGAGCAGGTCTGCAGAGAACTAAGTGTACAGGTGAAGCTCGAAAAATTAGAATGTCGTGCAAAAGTTCATTTATTTCAGTAATGCAACTTAAAAGGTGAAACTAATATATGAGATAGACTCATTACATGCAAATCAAGATAGTTCAAGCCTTGATTTGTCATAATTGTGATGATTATGGCTTACAGCTCATGAAAACCCCAAATCAACAATCTCAGAAAATTAGAATATTACATGTAATCAATAAAACAAGGATTGTACATAGGAAACAATATCGGACCTCTGAAAAGTATAAGCATGCATATGTACTCAGTACTTGGTTTGGGCCCCTTTTGAAGCAATTACTGCCTCAATGCGGCGTGGCATGGAAGCTATCAGCCTGTGGCACTGCTGAGGTGTTATGGAAGACCAGGATGCTTCAATAGCGGCCTTCAGCTGTTCTGCATTGTTCGGTCTCATGTCTCTCATCTTTCTCTTGGCAATGCCCCATAGATTCTCTATGGGGTTCAGGTCAGGCGAGTTTGCTGGCCAATCAAGCACAGTAATCCCATGGTCATTGAACCAGATTTTGGTGCTTTTGGCAGTGTGGGCAGGTGCCAAGTCCTGCTGGAAAATGAAGTCAGCATCCCCATAAAACTCGTCTGCGGAAGGAAGGATGAAGTGCTCCAAAATCTCCTAGTAGACAGCTGCGTTGACCCTGGACTTAATCAAGCACGGTGGACCAACACCAGCAGATGACATGGATCCCCAAATCAACAAAGACTGTGGAAACTTCACACTAGAATTCAAGCATCGTGCAGTGTGTGCCTCTCCATTCTTCCTCCATACTCTGGGTCCTTGGTTTCCAAATGAGATGCAAAAGTTGCTCTCATCAGAAAAGAGGACTTTGGACCACTGAGCAACAGACCAGGTCTGTTTTTCTTTAGCCCAGGTAAGATGCTTCTGACGTTGTTTGTTGTTCAGGAGGTGCTTGACAAGAGGAAGCCCATGTCCAGGATCTGTCTGTGTGTGGTGGCTCTTGATGCACTGACTCCAGCCTCAGTTCACTCCTGAAAGTCCCCAACACTTTTGAATGGCCTTTTCCTGACAATCCTCTCCAGGCTGCGGTCATCCCTGCTGCTTGTGCACCTTTTTCTTCCACACTTTTCCCTTCCACATAACTTTCTATTAATGTGCTTTGATACAGAACTTTGGGAACATCCAACTTCGTTTGCAATTACCTATTGAGGCTTTCCCTCCTTATGGAGGGTGTCAATGATGGTTTTCTCCACAACTGTCAGGTTAGCAGTCTTCCCCATGATTGTGATTCCTACTGAACCAGACTGAGAGACCATTTAACCCTTTGAGGACCAAGGGACGTATTTGTCCCATGTTTTTTAATTGCGTGTATCATCTGATCAAGAACTTAAAACTCTTTTTTTTTCAGTTTGAGTCAAAATATTAGTTCTTATCAACAAACAACAAATGGATCTAGCTTTTTGCCAATTATTTCATGAAATGGCTTAGTTACAGCAACTGAAGTGTACGAACTTTAAAAACAAAAAAATTGATTCTTTTGACGTTCCAAAATCTTACGGTCCTCAAAGGGTTAAAGGCTCAGGAACCCTTTGCAGGTGTTATGGCATAATTAGCTGATTAGAGTGGGACACTTTGAGCCTAGAATATTGCACCTTTTCACAATATTCTAATTCTTTGAGATTGTGAATTTGGGGTTTTCATGAGCTGTAAGCCATAATCATCACAATTATGACAAATCACGGCTTGAACTATCTTGCTTTGCATGTAATGAGTCTATCTCATATATTAGTTTCACCTTTTAAGTTGTATTACTGAAATAAATTAACTTTTGCACGATATTCTAATTTTTTTAGTTTCACCTGTATGTATAAGGCAGATAATATAGACGACTGTCTCTAATCACAGTCTGTACTGAGCTAACTAACCTTCTACATAGTGAAAAAGTCACATAAACTGATTCCCGGAGTTATGCTTTCTCTTCTACATTTGCCCAGACTGCTTTGCATAATGGTGTGTGGTCCTTTAGTGTTGTGAAATCTTCCACACATTTCTGTATGCTGTGAAACTATAATATATTATTGATCATAATCTTCTGCATATTTGCTTAAACTATAGTATGGTGCATATGGCAGCGGAGTGAGTAAATATTGTTGTCCTTTATAGTATTCAATTATTATAGCAGTGTTTACTTTTAAAACTTAAGAATTATGCGGTAATACTTAAGAGATTAGAATTCATACTATGCAACTGGATAATCAAGAAAAACTGGAATATTGTTGGGGGTCGAACATTTCCGGAATATGTTGTAATCCTTGAACTGAGAATTTCCTCACAACTGATACATACTAATGATATGATCACACTGTTGTGGTGTATTGTGTGCTGTGAAAACTCTACTAAACCTTTTACTAGAAGGTGTGGATTGCACCCTGTCTTGCTCCTGTTTTGATGCATCAGTGGATGGTGTGACTTTCATACTGGAGACCTCCTTGGCATGACTTTGTGCACCTTTAGTGTTCAGAAACCTGCATGGTCTTTTTCTCCCTTCTTATGTTTTTTTTTAACTAAAGACCCTCCAGTCCAAAGAGGAGAACAAAATCCATGATACAAAGAGAACGGCCATGAGAAAACTAAAGGCCAAGAGGCTAAAGGAATACACTATGAAGTCTCATTCCAGCATGCCACCAAACAACACCTACGTTAATTTTGAGCGCTTTGCTCAGGTAGTTGAAGATTTGTCTAATGCAGAAAGAGAGCTCAGCTCATTGACAGTGAACTATGACTCAATGCAGGAAGATGTGGAGGCCTTGATATCTATCTACAATGACAAGGAGACCTGGTACAAAGAGGAAAATGAGAATGTCAGACACAATCTGTCCCAGCTCCGTTATGAGTGTCGTAAAGTGGAATCTATGAAGAGAAACCTTCATCATGACATGCTTTTGGTAGAATCCAGTGTTGTAAATCTGTCTGGGCGGTACCACCAACTGGAGGTTCATTATGAGGCTTTGAGCAAAGAACTAAAAGAGGACATTAAGCAGATCCAGGACTTAGTGGGTGGATTCCACGATGGAAGTGCCAATTATAACTGTGGAAGTTTTGACTCTGTTTTCAGCAGAGATTTGAGTGAGTCATTTATGAACCTTCTGAATGGCCCACGCAATGAAGATCTTTTGCAGAGACTGAATTTACGAGTAACAGACCCTCGGTTATAGCATACCCCCAAAGCAATATGTAATTATATATGTGAAAATAGTTAGAAAATAATCTATCTAAACACAGCTTAATCAGAAAGCACCTTGTAAGTAAAGTAGTTAAATGAAGTGCACATTTTGTCATGTAGAGGTTTTAAAAGAAAAAACTCGTGGGCACAACCTGCCTAGAGTTTGCATGTTCTCCTTGTGCTTTTGTGGGTTTCCTCCAGGTACTGCCGTTGACTCCCACACTTCTAAAACATAAAACATACTGGTAAGTTAATTGGTTCCTGTCTAAAATTGTCTCTAGTATGTGTATGCATGAATGTCAGGCACTTTAAATTGCAAGCTCTTAGAGGGCAGGGACTGATGTGAATGTACTATATATATATATATATATAGTTGGTGCTACAGAATTACCTGTAATAAATAAGTACCTGTAATAATACTGAGCTCTGGTTTCCTTTAATATTTTGCCAAGAGTAAACCAATATAGCCTGACATCTAGTCCACCAAACAAATGCAAAGTACAATTCAACTTTCTACAGTAGCTGCACAGTAGGAAAGAGGTCATTCTGTGCTATGACTCTTTGGGATAGATTTATTAAAACTGATGAACTCAGAATCTGGTACAGCTCTGCATGGTAGCCAATCAGCTTCCAACTTCAGCTTGTCCCATTAAACTTTGGCAATAAAAACTGGAAGCTGATTTCTATGCAGAGCTGCACCAGATTTTGCACTCTGCAGTTTAAGTAAATAATCCCCCTTAGATCTAAAGCAGCAGGGAGCTATCAATCTATTTTATGAAACAACAGCAATATAGAAATATACAGATAACACTTAAACATAATTTTCTTTTAATGTCTTTCTAACTTTGGTTTACAATAATCTAACTTTATGTTTTAAAAATAAGTAAATCAATATTTTAAAAGAAAGTGGTATATAGCTATATCTCACTCCACACATATAAAGCATAGCCTTTAGTCTCTAAATGGATATTAATTTAAAAAAAATGCAGCTAGCATAACTGCTTTAAATCTGTCTTTATGTTATCTTCCCCAGAAAAGCAGACATTAGATGGAGTAGGTAGATATAAACTTTGAGTGAAGTAGGCTCTATGGCTTTGCATAGTGCACACTGACTTAAATGTTTTAAACCATGGTATGCTGGAGGCAGAGGTACATGCAGTGTGCTGATGCTCTTTCATAGATCAGTGATCAGATAAGTGACACACAAAGCATTAGAAAACAATAGTCTTGCCATATAATGTGGCTGAAAAGAATTGGTGGATAGACTGTTCACATATGTATTTCAACTGTATATTCAGCCATTTGGATGGAGTCCCAATTTAATAAAAAAAAAAACAGGTTCTATCCTTTTTGAAGTCTAGTTTTTACATTTGAAGATTGGTCACTGCACTCTAGAACAGACCGATACACTGCCCAAGGACTATTGTATTCCTTTTGGTTTTGAAAGTTCTGAAAGCACCTTAAGTGTAATTGGGTGAAGTAAATAAATGGCAACACATTATGTCCAGTAGTAACAAAATTCAAGGGACATTATTACAATTTATTTCATTAGACATTATTTTGTTTCTGCAACATCTATACCTTTGTTTTTTGTATCCATAATTTAAATGTATTATTTCTCCTTTACTTTTATAGCATGCATGCATCCTGGTGAGTTTTCAAAAATCTCCATCAGCTAAACAAAAGAAAGGGTGGGGTTGCAGCACAATGAGTTATTGCTCAAGAAATACAAAACAGCAGAAATACAAAGTTTCAGGCATCCCTGGCCTTTGTCAGCTTGACAAAGGCAGGGGTGCCTGATATTGTTACTGTACAATAAAATAGCCCATTGTGCTACAACCCAGTGTTTTTTTTGCATTATATATATATATATATATATATATATATATATATATATATATATATATAAAATGCAAAAGTATTGGGATGCTTACCTTTACACGCACATGAACTTTACTGACATCCCAGTCTTAGTCCGTAGGGTTCAATATTGAGTTGACCCACCGTTTGCAGCTATAACAGCTGCAACTCTACTGGGAAGGCTGTCCACAGGTTTAGGAGTGTGTCTATGGGAATGTTTGACCATTCTTCCAGAAGCACATTTGTGAGGTCAGGCACTGATGTCAGAAAAGAAGGCCAGCTCGCAGTCTTCTCTCTAATTCATCTCAAAGGTGTTCTATCGGGTTCATGTCAGGCCAGTCAAGTTCCTCCACCACAAACTCGCTCATCCATGTCTTTATGGACCTTGAATTGTGCACTGGTGCGCAGTCATGTTGGAACAGGAAGGGGCCATCCCCAAACTGTTCCCACAGAGTTGAGAGCATGAAACTGTCCAAAATGTCTTGGTATGCTGACGCCTTAAGAGTTCCCTTCGCTGGAACTAAGGGGCCAAGCCCAACCCCTGAAAAACAACCCCACACCATAATCCCCCCCTCCACCAAACTTACACTTGGCACAATGCAGTCAGCCCAATATCGTTCTCCTGGCACCCATATAACCCAGACACATCTATGGATTGCCAGACAGAGAAGTGTGATTTGTCACTCCAGAGAACACATCTCCACTGCTCTAGAGTCCAGTGGCGGCATCCTTTACACCATTGCATCCAACACTTTGCATTGCACTTGCTGATGTAAGGCTTGGATGCAGCTTCTCGGCCATGGAATCCCATTTCATGAAGCTCTCTACGAACTGCTGTTGCGCTAATCTGAAGGCCACGTGAAGTTTGCAGGTCTTTAGCTATTGACTCTGCAGACAGTTGACAACTTCTGTGCACTGTACGCGTCAGCAGGCGCTGACCCCGCTCTTTCATTTTACGTGGACTACCACTTCGTATCCAAGTTGCTTTTGTTCCCAGTTGCTTCCACTTTGTTATAATACCACTAACAGTTGACCGTGGAATATTTAGTAACAAGGAAATTTCACAGATGGACTTGTTGCACAGGTGGCAACCTATCACGGTACCACGCTAGAATTCACTGACCTCCTGAGAGCGACCCATTCTTTCACAAATGTAGAAGCAGTCTGCATGCCTAGGTGCTTGATTTTTTACACCTGTGGCCAGGGAGGTGATTGTAACACCTGAATAAAATCTTTTAGAAGCGTGTCCCAATCATTTTGGTAATATAGTATGCTTCTTTATTTTTCTGCTAACTTCAGTTACAGCACAAAATCAGAAGAAGGCCCCATCAGAAAAGTCCCACTGCCCTGTGTATGTCAAGGTGGTTCCCAACTTACGCTGGCTGTCAGCACAGTCCTCCTGCTTGTTAGCAGCAACATAGAGTCTCCCTTCTCTCTGGGGGCTCATCCACACTAGTCCACTTGCTAAAACGCAGTGCTTTACCGTGCTGCCAGTTGTAAGTCTAAAGGTGTGGAATGGGGCAATACGATGAGCGTTTCAGTGCATCATACTGTTTACTTTTTTTAACCATATTTAATTATAGTGACACTTCATGCATGTTTCTGCGCAGCAGCACGGTGCAATATGCTGTAGTGCTGTGACATGCAGTGCCATCCACTGTGCTTTGGAAAGGTCTGCCTCACATTTCAAATCATACTAACATTGTGGTGTGAACAGGGCACATGGTAAACAATTGTTTTGTTTTTTTTGTGGCCTTGTAGTGACTGGCATTAACCTCCCCGGCGGTCTGATTATGTCAGTATTTCTGTGCTCAAAGCAGTACATTGTTTTCAATGGAAATATGTTGTTTTTTTATTGTAGGTCCTGTAATTCTTAGGAATAACTCACTGAAATCTGTCCGAACAAGAGTCTAGTAAACATCCCGGTTATGATAAAATTTGAAACACGAAATCATAAATTATAATTTAATAAATAATCATAAAAATTAATAATATAATAATAAATTTAATTCAATAATATAATCAAACCAAAAACACTGAAATTTGAAATAGAGCGCCAAGTTCGCACATCACTGAGCAAAGTCGTAAAATCGTTTTCAGTGTCTGATGACGAATTTCCCCACGAATCATTATCACTCAATTCTGCAAGTAGTTCTAATTTACTGTCGCTGTTCTCTAGCTGGTCTAAAACCGCTTTCGACCTAAAGGGACGCTTTTTGGACGCCATGGACGTTTCTCAGTTTCCAGGCAGAAAGAATGGTAAAAATGCAGGCAGGGCACAGGACAAAGCACTAGGGACAAAATGTATGTGAAATGGTTTGATACAGTAATGTAATACTATCAGATTTTAGTGTAGTGAGTGAATGTCACATTTTTACATTTTCGAATTTCCCGCCGGTTACGTCCCCCGTACGTCCCGACGCTTGCAGGGAACGGAACCCAGAAGACGGATGCCGGCATCGGCTGGAGGACATTGCCGGGGACGCTGCAGGAGGGACATCGTGGTAGCGCAGAATAAGGTAAGTACTGGAGGGATCCCAGAGCAACTCTGCAGGGTAATCCCAAGTGTAGCTTGGGGTTATCGCTTCTGGTACTGAAAGTTAACCCCGAGTTACACTTGGGAATACCGCCAGGGGGGTTACTCCAGTGCGGTAAAGCACCACCACACACAGTGTGAATGAGCCCTGACTCCATTATCTAACGGTTACCCTCTGAGCTCACATCTATACTTACTAGGGGGGGCTGAATAGAAATTATCTGCCCTCCCAAATAAACCCATTTCAGCCTTGCCCCAGGCTGACTTTGCAGGCTGACTGCAAAAACTGGTATGTACAGGAGAGAAGTACAGAGGGTATAACAACAGGCAGTATGTACAGATTAAGATTGTGGATGCGCAGGAGAGGTATGCAAGGGGCAATATATGCAGGAGGATAGTACACATTGTATGGCAGAGCGCATGTATGCATTTGGGAAGAACATAAGGTATTACAGAGTGAACTAGTTCAGGAGAATACATGGAGGATATGACAGTGGGCATGTAGGCAGGCAGGAGAGGGGTATGAAGGGTATAACATTGGGCAGTATGTGCAGTAGAGGAATCTGGAAGTATGGCAGGGGCAATATATGTGTAAG